GGCTGCTGGAGGGTTGAACCTCGCGGGGGGGAGGGCGGGGCCGTGAGTTGGGCACCCTGGAGGGAGAGGACCCGGAACCTTCTCCTCCAGGGTCCCCTCTAGGCTTGCAGTCCAAGCAAAAGCCGCCGCCGAAATTCACCAGTAATCCCGACCCTCCCAGCCTCGCCAGGACTTCGAAAGAACTGGAAGAAAAGCTCAGATCGCTAACATTGAGAGCTTTCTTTGTGCCAGACACTGATCTGAACTCATTTACATAAATTAAATCACTCAATTTTGATTAAAACCCCTGTGACATAGGTATTATGCATAATTCCTTCATTTGTTCAAGAAATCGTTACTGAATATTTACCCTATACCAGGTATATTCCATAGTTGTGTATCTGCTTTACAGATGGGAAAAGTGAGGCACAGAGAGGCTAAGTAGCTCGTCCAAGATCACACAGGTAGTAGGTGTCAGAATCTGGGCTCTTAATCATTAGGCCTTGGAAAGAAGGGGGCGATTCTGGGAAGGGCCAGATGGAGCAGCCAGGGTTGGGAGAAAGGAGCAGGGAGGTGTGTCCCCATGAGCGTCAGGCTTGCTCAACCTGGGCAGGGAAACTCGAGAGGAAAGATAAAGATCGTCTGAAAAGTCTCCCGCTGGGCCAAGTTGGAGAAGGTTTGATGGGAAGGGTCTCTGTCCATGGCTCTAGTGCTGAAAGTTCCCCAGAAAATGCCTGAGTAGTCGGCAAACACTGGTGAGCGTCATGCTGTGCCAAGTTTGGGGGTGTCCGACTTAAGCAGGACCTGGTCTCTGCCCTGGAGGAGCTCCTGGCCTGAGGGGAGCCAGCCACACCCACAGCACCTTAGCAGGCAGTGCACCCCGCCCTCCACAGAGGCTTGGGCAGAGAGAGAAGGTTTCCCAGGAGAGGCCCTGAAGGTGGGTGGTGAGGCCGGGCGAGAGCCACGGTGGAGGGAAGTGGGGGAGGCAGAAAGCACAGCGGGCTTCAGGAGTGATGGTGGGAGGCAGGGGACCACATGAGAAACTGGGAGCCCTCTGGCTGGGCCTGGAAGAATGTGGGGGGCAGGTGCTTGGAGTGTAAGGAGGGGGCTGGACAGGGAGAGGGCAGCCGTGGAGTGAGGATGACAGGAAGGACTAGGAAGGGGGGGAACCCCGTAGAATCTTTAAAAGAGAACCAAGTTTGATATTTGACCAGAGTTCGAAGGGACAGACAGAGCGAAGCACAGCCAGTTAAAATAGAGTGTGAGAGGCGATGCTCCAGGAAGAAGCATGGGGCTCCATGGGGGCACCAGGAGTGGGCACCTAATCCAGTTTTGGGAGGCTGCTTACAGGAGGCAGGGCAGTCAGCTAGAAAGCAAGGGCTGGGCACTATGAGCAAAGGGTGGGGTGTGGGCTGACCGGGAGGCCAGCAAAGGCAGGGGCATTGTGGGAGCTGTAGCAGGATGGCATGGGAGTCTGAACACAGTCCTGGAGACCTAAGTCGAGGCCAGACCAGGAAGTGGCAGCAGCTGCCCTGCCCTGAGCACTCTGTGCGTAGAAGCTCATACGGCACGCGTGCCGCCTTTTTCACCTGGCGAGGGCAGGCTAGGCCGTTTGGACTTTCTACTGAGGGCAATTAGTTGCTTTTGCAGGGCCTACAGTAGGGGAGAGGCATAGTGGGCGGGAAGGCCAGTCCAGGAGAGAGAGGAGGGGGCCCTGGGCTAGTGGTTGAGGTCAAGGAAGATCTAAGGGCCCTGGACAGTTTGGGTCAGTTGTTAGAGCATCAGCCTGTGGACTGGCCAAGGGTACAGGCCTCGGTTGCAGGCTCGGTCCCTGGCCCCAGTCGGGGGTTGTGCAAGAGGCAGCCAATTAATGTGTCTCTCACATCAATGTTTCTCTCTCTCTCTCTACCCCCCCCCCCACTCTCTTTCAAAAGCAATGGAAACAATATCTTCAGGTGAGGATTTTTTTTAAAAAGAAAGATCTAAGAGCAATTTGTGGGCTGGAATGGACAGGCTTGGCCCCTGAGAAGAGCACTGGTGAGGGGAGAGGCAAGGAGGATGCCCATTTCTCTGCTAAAATACGTGGGGGTGAAGATGCCACTCAATGAGATAGTGAACTTGGGAAGCAGGCCCCCTGCGGCCTGGAGAACGGGGACAGCGAGCACTTAGAACCCTGAGTCCAGAGCAGCAGGGATGTAAGGACAGCCGCAGGACCAAGGGAGAGCACCTGGGGCAGCAGGGAGCAGTGAGGGAGCCTTTCGGTTCCCGTCAGGGCTGCGCCCGGCACCAGCGGGGCAACCCCCCCCAGCGCAGCTCAGTCCACAAGGAACGAGTACCCAGAGGTGCCCAGGGGCCGTGCGCTGGACTCCAGGCCAAGGCCCCGAGCTGCAGGTAAGGGGTGACCTAGATCTGAGTCCAAGAGATGGGTGACAAAGGGGCCGGTTTGAGTGAAAGCTCGGGGACAAGGAGGACGTCGCAGGAGACGTTCAGGGAGAGAGACGGTCAAGGACGGTGTTGTCCATGTTGCTCTGGGCATTTGCGGAGTTGGGGGGAGGTGGTACGGATGGAAGTCAGAAGTCAGTCCTGTCAAAGTCAAGGGCGAGGCGTTGGTGCCGATCCCAGCCTGCCCCATGCTCACGGCAGACATTGCAAATCACCCCCAGAAGTTTTCCCCGAAGCCTTTAAAATTCGCTTTAATGGCATAAGGAATGTGTTTTTAAACCTAGAACATGAAACCGCTGCTGCTCTTCCATTCCCCAGGGGAAACTCCTGCTGTCAGTCTGGTGGGAATTCTCTAGGCCTTTCTGGAGTAATGTCACACTCGCCTGTATGAACTAGAGCATTATTTCCCAGGGCAGCGTCTCTCCCACCAGGCCCACACTCGGCCTCAGGAGCCCTCTCACAACACTCCAGGTCAGCCAGGACCTACCCAGAGTCGAAACAAGAGCGGACACCCGCTCGCTCTTTACTCGGGGTTAACTTCCTCCCAGAAGTCAGCAGAGCACGAGCTGCCATCTGATGGCAAAACGTCACAGCCCCGGAAGCTGCCCAGTGGCCAGGCACCATGCGGGTGCCCCTGGCTCCCTAGACAGACGTTATTCCATCTCAGGATCGGGCACTGAGTTGGGAAGGGGGGCGGGTCCTCAGCCCAGTGGAAATAATCTGTGTTAATGTGGAGTATGAAGGGTTTCCATATCCCCCGGGCATGTTGAACCTCCAGGGCACTGTCAGGTAGATGGGCAGCTGCTGTTATTTCCATTGTTCTGACCAGAGAGGTTGCTTCATTTGCCCTAGGTCACACAGTGGTTAGGGGCAGGGATGGAATTGAAACCAGGGCAGCCTGCGGGCCAACCAGGACCCTCTCTCCCTCTCCAGCCCCTGCTGAGACTCCACCGGCGGCCTCCGCAGCAGCACAGGAGACTGGAGCGGCCCCGGCCAAGGAGAACCTAGCGGACATGGGGGCCGAGGAGGCACAGGCCCCTGCCTCCCCCCACCAGAAGTCCTGGCTGGTGCGGCACCTCTCGCTGTTGCTGCGGCGGGACAGGCAGGCCCAGAAGGCGGCGCAGCTCTTCTCAGGGCTCCTGGCCCTCAACGTGGTGTTCCTGGGAGGCGCCTTCATCTGCAGCATGATCTTCAACAACGTGGCCATCACGCTGGGTGACGTGTGGATCCTGCTGGCCGTGCTGAAGGCCCTCGCCCTCCTCTGGCTCCTCTACTACGCGGTGGGCACCGCACGCCAGCTGCACGCCGTGCTTCACCAAGACCCTCACGCGGGACCCATCTGGGTGCGGGGTGAGTATCGGGGCACTGGGTAGACGGAGAGGGTGGGGAGGGAAGGCCCATTCCAGGAAGGTGCCAACGGCCTCCTGGCCCGGCCAGGCTCCCTGCTGCTCTTTGGCGGCTGCACTGTCGGCCTCAACATCTTCCGCGTGGGCTACGACGTGATGCACACCCACTGCAAGTCGAAGCTAGAGGTCATCTTCCCCTCCATGGACATCATCTTCATCGGCGTCCAGGTAACAGGCCTCTCGCGTCCCTGGGCACCAGGCACAGCCTCCCTATCCAAGCCGTGTGCGCACCCCAGCCTACGCCTGGAAACAGCCTCATAGGCAAATACCTATGTGGCCCGGAGTATGTGCACACACACCACAGCCCCCCACGCATGCCTGCCTGCGTGTACCCCCTCCACGCACACCTGCATGTGCTGCACTGAAGAGCCGCGTCACTGGTGCACAGACACCTGCAGATACATCCCCTGCACCTACTCGTATGTGCCTAAATCACGATGCCACCCTCGCCATGAATCCCCAGCTCCCTCCTGACTTCCTGTTCTGCACCAGGCACGGGGTTTCGTTCCCATCACCTCTCATATTTTCCCAGCAAGTTGGCATGCCCCTGGGAGGTAGGCTTAGTTCCCTTTTAGAGGTGAGGAGACTGAGGTGACTGAAGCTCAGAGACACCTTGCCATTGGCCCGAAAACACACAGCAAGGAAGCGGTGGAGCCAGGATTCCAACCCAGGTTTCCTCACTGTGTCTTCATTGAAAATACACACAAGCAGCCTGGGCGCACACCCCCTGGTCCCACCCCCACC